CGTGTTTACACAAGGCAGATATTTGTTTCTCCTCGCAGGGCTTTGGACTGTATAACCAGCATGGAGTGTAAACCGCCGGCTGAAGGCTGGTGATGGCCGTCTGACTCGCATCCACAATAGCTTCCCAAAGTCAGCCCACAAAAGCAGCGGATTAGGACGCTAAATATCCACCCAACCCACCTTGACATGTTGACATGTTCAGCTAAGTGTGTTTCAGGGCGGATTTACGTACATTTGTTCCAATTGGAAAGAGAAAGAAAGCGTGGCGCAGCGGGTTTAAAAGACATGAGGGCTCATGTGCTTTTTCTCTCGGTGGGCGATGAGGATGACTTTCACCTTAATGGACGCACGGATGGAAGTTTTGGAAAGTTTTTTAAGGGGTGACAACTTGAGCGTCAGGGTTTGTTAGAGTCCCGTCCTTGAGCAAACAAACACCGAGGAATTTCTGCCATTGTTGTTGGTGTGCAGCTTTGACTGACAGGTCGGCAACGCAGAGGAGCCTGTCAGCAAAGACAGCGAGAGGTCAAACCATGACCACCCCTGCTGAGAGAGAGCTGACCTCGAACAACACACACACACACACACACACACACACACACACACACACACACACACACACACACACACACACACACACACACACACACACACACGAAAGGGTTTTAAAAGTGTTTAAAAAAAATTCCCTGTATATTAGCCAATTTGCCTAGCCTATTATTAAATTGGCATGCAGGGGTTGAAATATACAGTTATTAATTCCATTTGCTTTGAAAATGTAATTACTTCATTCACATATTTCTCGAGAGATGTTTAACAAAGTAGGGAATTTTGTTAACAGTATTTCCCATTAAATTTTTTCCACTATAGAGACAGTCTTCACTTTGAAGCTTCCATGTGAAAGTTTACATTAAAAAGCTGCCAGCAGGGTTGCTAGCCAGTTCCTTGTATTTTTTTTACATTAGCAGTGCTGTAATTAAATGTACTAAATTTTGCTGCAATTAGAGCCTCAGCAACTCATATTAAAAATGCCACAAAATGCATGAGTACCTGTGAAGATGTGAAGTGAATGAGAACCAATGTGGTGGCACTTACATTAAATGTAATGCACCAATGGTTGAAAAAACATTCAGACAAAGGCAAAATGATTAGCCCGACTGTAAAATCTATATTCTTTTTCAAATACTTCCCAAGAGTTTTTTATTATATATTTTTAAACACCATCGTTTTACTAATGAATGTCTAATAACTGTTTTTGTCTTTGTCATGATGACATTTTGCTAGATTTTTGTAGGATACTAGTAGTCCGTATAAAATGCCATTTTAAAGGCTTAAATAGGTTAAGTAGGATAACTAGGCAAATTAAGTAAATTAGGCAAGTTATTGGACAACAGTGTTGTCCAATAGGGAGAGGTAATATTTACAAGGTATTCAACAAGATACTGGAAATGTTCCTCAGAGATTTTGGTCCATGTTGACATGATAGCATCAAGCAGTTGCTGCAGATTTGTCGGCTGCACATCCATGATGCCAATCTCCCATTCCACCACCTTTCCACCCATTTCCAAAGGAGCTCTATTGTATTGAAATCTGGTGACTTTGGAGGCCGATTGAGTATAGTGAACTCATTGTCATGTTCAAGAAACCAGTCTGAGATGATTTGCGCTTTATGACATGACACATTATCTTGTTGGCAGTAGCCATGAGAAGATGGGTACTCTGTGGTCATGAAGGGATGGACATGTTCAGCAACAATACTCAGGTAGGCTGTGGAGTTGACACGATGCTCAATTGGTACTAATGGGCCCAACATGTGCCAAGAAAATACCCTCCACACTATTACACCACCACCACCACCACCACCACCAGACTGTTGATACAAGGCAGGTTAGATCCATGCTTTCATGTTGATGATGCCAAATTCTGATTGGCTGATAGCCGTGCGATATTTTGCCAGTAAAATCACACAAAGGCCTCTTCACCCTTCACCTCTGTGTATTACTCCGCCCACATACAGCAAGCAACAAGCACTTTGACAAATATTACTGTTGTTAGACAACAAAATGTACTTTTGAGGCTTTTTTTTAGTCGAGAACGTAGTTGTATAGATTGCAACTATGCAGTTTATTTGTAAGAATAGTGCCTATTTTAAAATATTCACAATTTCTGAGAGCTTGTCGGCGGCCAAAGACGGTTGACGTTGTCCATCCACAAGATGGCGCCAGAACCGCAACGTACGCCTCCCACCAGTGCTGATATACAGCCATAGCACACTGCTACTAGTGTGATATTGCTCATATATATATATATATATATATATATATATATATATATATATATAAACAAACTAAAAGAAGTAAGACTTTCCCCAGAAGAAGAAAAAAAAAAAAAGAAATACTGTGAACATTTCCTTGCTGTTAAATATTACTATAGGAAATGTTTAAAAAAAAAAAAAAAAAACATGTCGAAATGCATACATGTTTAAATGGTCCATTGGAAGGGTACGTCCTTGGCATTGAGTCAGGTTGTGCATGTAAAGAAAAACAGAATACAGAAACAGAGAATAATCCATCATTATTTTAATGGTGCAACAGTACATTGGTATATTTCATCACACACATTTATAATTTACACAGTGCATGGCATAATGCTAAATCAGGCTTCTCTATTTACAGATATAATTATGACGCCAGGTGACATCAGACTCGCCCTCTCCACTTTTGGGTTTTAGTGCAAGTCATCATTAGCTGGGCCCTTGAAAACTGAACCCTGACCCTTGTGTGTGTGTATGTGTGTGTGCGCTTGAGGGGATTGGAGCTGCTGTCTTAAGATGGCCTGCAGGTTGTGTGTCATTTTTATCAGCATTTAAAGAGATCTCTTAAAATGAAAATTCAGTCATCACTTACTCGCTTTTAACTGGCTTCTTTCTTCAGTTGAACAGATATTCTGAACCATTGAATTTGATAGTATTCTCTTTTGTATTTCAATGGCACCTGGTTTTTGAAATTGTTTTTGTGTTTAACGGAAGAATTCAAACAGGTTTGGAACAAATAATGATTACAGGGTTATTAAGTCATTTAAGATGATCAATGCTGATAAAGTGTAATTTATAAAGGATTTACATTTAACATTTATAAATATCCTCAAATATCAAAATGTAACTGTCAGTATGGTCATAACATGAACAACTCCACACTTTAGAGAAACAAGCACCCGCATATTTGTGTGTTGTGGTGCAGCTCCTCCCAACTGTCTGTGTGTGTGAGTGTTTGTGTGTGTGGGTTGACACAGCCAAGCTGTTGGTGGTAGTGTGTTGGGGTCAGGGTTCTTCAGTCAGCACCCCGTCCCTGAGTCAAGCACATGGGACCCCCCCCCCCCATCCTTCCCATCAGCCCTGGGTACAAATAAACCTGGTAGCGCAGTGCTCCTCTCCGCGGCAGGCTGTCACTCCACTCTCAGGCTCATTAATCAGAGCCAGGGCAGATTAGACTTCAAACAAAAACAAACTCCAGCAGGAACGTTCTTCCACCACAAACCCTCACTTCCAAGTCCAAACGGCATTCTCATGAAACTGAAGGAAATTTAACAGAGTGCAAAGTATTTGTGTGAAACCGCGCACATATGTGCATTTGACTGATTGAAGATGATGGTTACAGAATCAGAATTTACTCATACTCATATTTCCATACACGTACAGTCAAAAAGAAAGAAAAAGTTGGCTTCTTTCAACCCAAATTTGAGTGGGCAAAAGCCAACAATTGGGCCTTTGACTGTGTTAAGTTTTGGGGTGAATGCAAATATTTTATGAATCATTTCAAAGCCAAAAATGTTTGGTTACCAATACTCTTCGAAACATCTTAGTCATAAGTTTGAAGCAGGATGAGTAAATAATGACAGAAACTGCATTTCTGAGTGAACTACCCCTCTCAGAATGGGACATGAGGCACTGAAATCTTGAGCAGTGTTTTTAAAGCTGATTACATATTTATTTTCCATGCAATATATATAACTACGCTCTAAAAATGCTGGAAACAGTTTGGTTTGTCTTAATTTTATACTAAGTAGCTATGACTAGTTCAGGTTTTTAAGTTTAGCATATCTGTTGTTTCATAGAATTATGTTTCACTGAAAGTGAATTTGACAAATGTTATGGTATTACTCATTATATTGAACAAATAAATAAATATTTCACCCGTAAAATAAATTTGACTATCCTTTACTCAGTTCTCTTGTTCATCCAAACCTGCATTTCTATCAAATACTGTCTTATGTGGAACAATTATTCTGGTTGCTCTTTCCCATGCTACAAGAAATGGAACGCAAAATAAAAGAAATACAAGACAAAAATATTCATTATATATTTACTTAATCAGTTGCTAGTCTTCTTGATAGATTTGTGTATGGAACAGAAGGAAATTTAAGCAGTTATTCACTGGTGATGATATTAAATATGAATTTAAGAACTGGATCGGTCCAATTTGACATAACCGGGACGACTTAAAAAAGTTTATTGTTGAAAAAGTGGGCACTATATCACTATATATATATATATATATATATATATATATATATATATATATATATATATATATATATATATATCATGGACAGTTCTATCTATAGTATAGATATACAGTACATATATCAGTTCAGATGCAAAAACCTATAAGTGCCATCTGAAATTTCCATTAAAAATGAGCATTTTATTTTTATGTTTTTATATATTTTCTATATTTTTATGTTGAGTTATTTTATTTTAGGAGACTGATAAAAATGATAAATAAAATGAAAAATTATGATTTCAAACTGCTTGAAGAGGTTTTTGCATCTGAACTCTTCATATATACACACACACACACACACACACACACACACACACACACACACACACACACACACACACACACACACACACACATATATATATATATACATACATATATATATATATATATATATATATATATATATATATATATATATATATATATATATATATATATATATATATATATATATACTACATATATATATATACTACTCATTTAAGCAGTCACCATTGAAATGAAATGGACAAAGAGCCACCGGTACAATTGATAATTGATCCTCTATCAGAGTTTTGATGACATGAGAGTGAGTAAATCGAAAAATTTATAAAAACTTCATTTTCATGAACTAAAGGGTGTTAAAAATACAAAATCTCCCATTCTATGCTTACTTGCATATACAGACATTACATATCACTAAATTTCAGTAAGCTTTTCGTACTTTATCTGCTTTGAAAGTATACAGATCACAGATTTCCTGTCACAAAATAAATTGAACTTTTGGGAATTCCCGCAGTTTACCTCTACTCAAAGCATGCGGCAGGCCAAAGCTATTAGCCGAGTACACAAACAACAGATAAGCTAAACCTATGGAGCGATAAACGCCCAGTAAGTGTTCAATTAATCTTGCTATTCTGCCAGTGATTAACGGTGACTTGAATTCGTAATGATTACACAGGCCAGAGATTTGCAATTCTTGCATTATGTGCACAAAAAGAAGCCAACACTGCCACCTTTAGGCAGTCAGCGGTACTGACGCCTCATTTTCGGCTAAGCCCCATGCAGTGACATCGGGGCAGGAGAGTATGTTATCATACTGCATACTCTCTGTGCACTGGGGAACCTCCTGAAGTCCAGGACTAAACAAGCGCTCACTCTGTCCACGACCTGGTTCTGGGTTTGAGTGACGCGCTGCTCACCGAGTGTTTGTCTACGTCCCTGGGAAATGGGGTGGTGTCAGTGTGGCGACTGGCCTATCCCATCCATCAGTGTCAGGAGCGGCGCATGACTAATGGACAGGAAGTACAGCCAGAGAAACAACAATATTTGCAGAATATATTTCAGAAACATTAGGCCCACTTTCTCCAACGGTGCTTATTTCAGCAAACTGTAATGGGTCTTTAATCCTGATTTATGGCCATGTTTATCTGTTAGCAGCGGCTCGTGTTGCTCTAACCTGCATCTGCGCTCAAATTGTGCAAAGCAAATATGAGGACCTTATTGGATTATCTTGACCTGCAGTGAAAAGCTCTTCTGAACTTGGGTTAAAATGCTAAATTGCACTGGCACGGTAATAAGGGACATACTTTTAAGTACTTGGATTTGACATTGAGATGTGAAAAATGAAGACTCGCACTGGTTCTGTGGTTCAAAGGTCAAATACAAAGATTCTGAAGAGCTTTTAAATGGTTAATTCACTCCGAAGTGACACTTATGTGATTATTTACTCATCATTAAGATACATATTTAATCAAATCTGAGGTATTTCTGTATCTTAATTCAAATCTTTCCAGCCAAGATGTTTACATTTTTTCAAAATATACTGTATATTCATTTTTATTTAGTAGTTTAATAAAGACTTCTGTAGACATGACTAGCTTTAAATGATGAAAATATATACATTTTATATTCACATTTTAATATTGATCAGCAAATAATATTGAGAACATTTAGATTTGGTCATGAAGCTCCAACAAACTAGCTTTATGCTTGAGAATAAATCTTCTTTCTTAACTATCATGAGGCAGGTTTGAGTTTCCACAGGACCAATGGGGCTTATTTATTTGCATTTTATGTTTGTCGATCAATGTTTATAAGCAAAAGAAAAATCAAACATTTTCATAAATCTGATCTTTAAATTAAATTTAGACATTTTTAGGGCGAACAGACTTTAATTTAATGTAATTTGACTAATGTTTTATCATTTTTATTTAGATTGGGAACCAAAGTTTATTTATTTGCCTTTTATATTTGCTGATCAATGATTATAAGCAAATAAAAAATATATACATATATTAACATAAATCTGATCTTCAAATGAAATCTGTTCATTATAAATAGTGTTTTTCTCTACAAAAGACTTGGATTAAAGTACTCAAATAATGTCTTTACCCATTTATAGGGTGAATAGACTTGTTTAAATTAAATCTGTTCATTATATAAAGTTATTGTCTCTTCAAAAAACTTGGATTAAACCACTCAAATCAAGTACATTTTTAAAAATAATTTCTTTATACATTTTTGGGGTGAACAGACTTTCATGTAATTTGACTAAAATATCACCATTTTATTTAGAACATTAAGATTTGGTCATGTTTGCGTTTCCACAGGAAAAATGATGTTAGCATTTTATATTTGCTGATCAATGATTATAAGCTAATAAAATGAAATTTGACCTTTAAATTAAATCTGCTCATTATATAAAGTGATGTTGTCTCTTCAAAAGACTTAGAATACACCACTAAAATCATTTACATTTATTTCTTTACACATGTTTGGGGTTAACAGACTTTAATGTAATTGGATTAAAACATCATCATCATTTTTTAGAACGTTTAGATTTGATCATGTTTGCGTTTCAACAGGAACCAATGAGGTTTATTTATTTGCTTTTTATATTTGCTGATCAATGATTATGAGCAAATAAAATGAAATATTTACATAAATATGATCTTTAAATTAACTCTGTTCATTAAATATAGTGATTTAAAAAAAAAATCAGTAATCAGTTGCTTGTTTTAGTGAGTGTCTGCAGCAATATGGCGATGCCCAAAACAAATCTCCTGTCAAGGACAATAAAGTTTTACTACTAAATATAGTAATTTTTATCAAAAGATTTGGAATAAACCACTCAAGTCATGTAAATATATTTTATAAATTCTTAATACATTTTAGGGTGAACATACTTTCTTTTAATGTAATTGTAAACAATGAAGTTTATTTATTTGCAGTTTATATTTGCTAATTAATGTTTATAAGCAAATAAAATGCAATATTTTCATAATTATGATCTTTAAATTAAATCTGTTATTTATATAAAGTCAATTTGTCTTTCCATAAGACTTGGATTAAACCACTCAAATCATGTAAAATAATCTTATATAAATTTCTTTATACATTTCTTTGGGGGTGAAAAGACTTTACTTTAATGTAATTTGACTAAAATATCCTGAATTTTATTTAGAAGATTTAGATTTGGTCATGTTTTCATTTCTACAGGAACCGATGTGGTTTATTTATTTGCTGATCAATGTTTATAAGCAAATAAAACAAAATATTTTCATGAATATGATCTTTAAATCTGTTTATTATAAAAGTAATTTTGTCTCTTCAAAAGACTTGAATTAAACAACTCAAATCATGCACATTTATTTGATCAATTCTTTATGCAGTTTTGGGGTGAACAGACTTTAATTTATTATAATTTTAACAAAAAGTTTCATAATTTTTATTTTGAATATTTAGATTTGGTCATGTTTTCATTTTCACAGGAACCAATGAGGTTTATTTATTTGCAGTATATTTGCTGATCAATGATTATAAGCAAATAAAATGAATTATTTTCATAAACATGATCTTTAAATTAAATCCGTTCATTATATACAGTAATTTATATTATTTTGTCTCTTCAAAAGACCTGGATTAAACCACTCAAATCATGTACATTTATTTTATGATCTCTTCTAACATTTTTGGTGTGAACAGATTTTTTTTAAATGTAATTTGATTAAAATGTAATTTAAAATAAGATTTAGATTTGGTCATGATTGCATTTCCACAGGAACCAATGAGATTTATTTATTTGCATTTTTTATTTGCTGATCAATGATTATGAGCAAATAAAATGAAATCTGTTCATTATAAAAAGTGATTTTGTCTGGGTTAACTCAGTCAAATTGTTTAAATTATTGTTTTTTTTAATTATTTTTTTTGTAGCAAAGATGAAGGTTTTTTGGAATATTTGGAAGGAGTTTAGAGTGGGTAAATTTGGACAAAACTTCAATTTTTACATTTAACCAAATGCCAAAACCTGCTGTGTTTTCATGAGATGCTTCCTCCAGAACTTACATTATCCCAACCCTCCGAACAGGCTCCCGTGTGCTTGCAGTATCAGGAAAGGGGATGCTTAACCTCAGCAGCCTGTCACCGTGGCGTCAAGACCCGAGCGTTTGGTGATGTTGAGTTTGGTGAGCTCCTCAGCACAGGTGGGGTGAATCCCCACTGTGTTCCTGAGGTGTTCGTATGTAAGTCCACACCTGCAGACAGAAACACACAGAGTCTGTATTCATTCATCCGCAGCTGTCCATACAAATGCTGATTTGAATTCACATGCAAATGTGCATGTAATGAAACAGACACCTGGGGGACATCAGAACACATCAAATCAAATCAATGTAATCTGATTCCAGCCCATCATCATGTGCAAGTTTACAGAGATGTGCGGAACGTACTGGAAGCCCAAAGCAAAGCCCTGTGTGACTTCACCAGCGTTCGGCCCAGTAAAATGCAGACCCAGCACGCGCTGGTCACCTTCTCGTAGACAAACCACCTGCGAAAAAGAGCATATACACAGTTGAAGTTGCAATTATTAGGCCTTTTTTGAATTGTTTTTTCTTTTTTAAATATTTCCCAAATTATATATATATATATATATATATATATATATATATATATATATATATATATATATATATATATATATATATATATATATATATATTTAATTTTATTTATTTATTTATTTTTTTTCTGGAGAAAGTCTTATTTGTTTTATTTTATGTTTTTAATTTCTTAAAAAAAAATGTATGGTCAGTATTATTAGCTCTTTTTAGCAACATTTTTTTCGATTGTCAAAAGAACAAACCACTTAAACAATAACTTGCCCAATTACACTAACTTGCCTAGATAACCTAGTTAAGCCTTTGAATCACACTTTAAACTGAATATTAGCATCTTGAAAAATATCTAGTAAAATATTACAGACTGTCATTGTGGCAAAGATAAAATAAATCAGTTATTAGAAATAAACTGAAAAAGAATCTTCTTTCCGTTAAACAGAAATTGGGGAAAAAACAGAAAAGTAATATGGAAGTCAATGGCTGTTTTCTTTCAACATTCTTCAGCATATCGTCCTTTGTTTTTGTTTTTTTGGATGAACTTCCTCTTTAAGACACAAAGACCATCACTACAACATATCATTTTTATTTTTTATGCATAAAATGGATCAAAAGTGACAGTGAAGACAAAATGTTTTCAAATAAATGTGCTATTTCAAAATGGATCAGTTATCAATCAACACATCAGCACCTTTTTGTACTTTATTAGTTTATTATATTATTTATCCATCTTCCTTTAAGCAATAGTCTTCATTCATTCATTTTCCTTTAGTTTAGTCCTTTTATTTATCAGGGCTTGCCACAGCGGAATGAACTGCCAACTTATCCAGCAAATGTTTTTACGCAGCCAATGCCCTTCCAGCTGCAACCCAGCACTGGGAAACACCCATACACACTCTTGCATTCACACACATACACTACTTCCAATTTACCTTTTTCAATTCACCTATAGCACGTGTCTTTGGACTGTGGGGGAAACCCATGCAAACACGGGGAGAACATGCAAACCTTGCACAGAAATGTCAACTGACCCAGCCAGAAATCGAACCCGCAACTTTCTTGCTGAGAGGCAACAAGAATTTGCAAGTGCTCTCAATACAAGGAACTGCAATATTTATAAATTGCATTATTGAACTTTTTTCTTACATGCTAATGCTAATACAAAAAAAAAATCACAAGAACCAAAATCTGCATATACTTGAATGATTTTGCAAGGATCACAATATTTTGGCAATGGTTAAAAATACGTTTGAGGGTCAAAAGTGTCGTTTTTTTTCTTTTAAGCCAAAAGTCATTATAGTATTAAGCAAAGATCATGTTCCAAGAAGATATTTAGTAAATGTCGCACTGTAAATCAATGTTAGTAATTAGTAATGTACACTGCTATAAACTTAATTTAAAAAAATTTAATCCCAGTTGCTTTGCACATATACTGTCTTGTGGATATGATTATACGCGGTATTATGAAGTCATGTTAATACGCAGCTGTCAATCAATTCGGTGGCGAGGAAAATGCCACATCACGTTGCAGTGGGCCTCAGAATTGCAGGAATTTGGGTCTTATTTTAACGTCAGGAATTAAAAAAAAAAAAAAAAAAAAAAAAAAAAAATATATATATATATATATATATATATATATATATATATATATATATATATATACACACACACACACACACATACATATACATATATATATATATATATATATATATATATATATATATATATATATATATATATATATATATATATATATATATATCATATTGGGGTGGTAGAAAGACTTGTTGACACACTATACCTACACACAGTTCTGCCCAAAAAAGCTTACAAAAGTTTTCATCCCAGGTGCCCTTTAAAAGCAGTATTCTCAATATTTAGATTTTATTTTAAACTCTCAGTTTCCAGATTATCTTAAGTCATTTCTTGGAGAAAAATAGTGTCATATCCTAACAAACACATCAATAGAAAGTGAATTTATTTATCCTACAGGTGACATATGACTAAAAACATAATACTGACCGGTTTTGTGTCACGTGTAACAGTTTTTGGGAGTAATGGCTGCTGAAAATACAGATTGAGAGGTAAGCGCCACTGGTAATTAAAAACATTTTAACATTATTATATTAAATGTGGCAGCATGGTGGCGCAGTGGGTGGCACAATCGTTTCACAGCAAGAAGGTTGCTAGTTCGAACCCCGACAGGGTCAGTTGGGATTTCTGTGAAGAGTTTGCAAGTTTGCCCCGTGTTGGTGCGGGTTTCCTCCGGTTGTTCCGGTTTCCCCCACAAGTCCAAAAACATGTGGTATAGGTGAATTGGGCAAGCTGAAATTGTCTGTAGTGTAAAATGTAGGGTTCCACACAATTCATTCATGTTGTTAACACTTTACAAATTTACATGGACTGAACATAAAAAATAGATTGTCCCAATAAAATCTGAAGAATTATGTTGTTTCAGCTCATTTTAATTAGGTAGTTTGAACAAGTTAAATATATTTGTGTGTATGTGCGTGAATGAGAGTCTATGAATGTTTCCCAGTGATGGGTTGCAGCTGGAAGGGCATCCGCTGCGTAAAACATATGCTGGATAAGTTGGCAGTTCATTCCGCTGTGGCGACCCCAGATTATTAAAGGGACTAAGCCGAAAAGAAAATAAATGAATGTATTAAATGTAGTAAAAAACAAAGTTTCTTGTGATTACTTAACAGGAGGTAAGTAAAATGTATTTATATAAAGTAGCAAATTAAACAAGCTATCCAAAGTGCTCAGAGTAAAAAAAAAATAAATTAAAACAAGACGGACAAGATGAATGACAAAATACCAAAGAGAACACAATGAAAATGCTAAGGAGACAATTAAAATGCTAAGTTTTCAACCTTGATTTAAAAATGAGTAATGAAATGTCTTGCCTAGCCTTATGAAATGTGCAAAGCGGCAAGACTGGTTTCATAGATGAGGGGCAGGCACCAGAAATAGCTTTGTCACCCTTAGATTTTAAACGGTGCACCATAAAATACCAAGTGGTTTGATTAATGCATCAACAGAAGCAGCACAGACTATATTGCATCCGATTTGTATTACTTAAACCTATATTTAAAGAAAATATTATTTAAAATACCTTTATATAGCATTGAGTGGCATCTCTCTCAGCCACAGTGAACTCCAGCGGTTTGTAGAAAGCATGGTACACCTGTTAAACCAGACAACACAAGAAAACTATGATGCGCCAACGCTGATGACATTTCCTGAATCATCAAGCACTTGAGCTCGTCATTTCAGGACAAGTGCTGCTACTGTTATGGTTTGCGTCTGTGTTTTGGTCTTAAACATTTTTGGGGTGCTGAAATCATGCATATTGAAGATGTTAAAGAGCGAATGTTCTAGCGTGCCAACACACGCCGCTCACAGCTGTCAGAGCCAATGAGATGCAGCGTTTCTGATCATCTCTCATCAACCTCTAGAAGCATCAGTCAGCCCTCCTGCGCACATGTCAATCAAACTAGAGGCACGCCCCTCTGTGAATGCTTAAGGCTTTAGAGCAACGCAGGTGTGTGAGGACTCAGTACATACACACGCACACACATATACACGTATACTGTAAGATATTTACAACAGCACACACAAATGCACAAATACTTATTATTAGATGTCAAAGTTTTTCAGGTTTGCAATTTTCTTAGAAATAAATTACAGCATTCATCATCCTGATGCTTCATGATGCTGAGAATTCAGATAATGAAATATATTGCTTGCTGTAATACTTGTTTACTGTGATTATTATTATTGTATTTATGATCATTCTGCAGTTTATAACTTCAAATTGCTGTATTACCTCAATCTGGTCTTTTCCATGTCTCCTTTCTGCCTCTTCTTCAGACAGACCTACACAGCCATATTCTAGTGGTGTGAACACTGTAGTAGCTACCTACACACACATACAAACATACGCAAACACACACCAAGAGAGAGAGAGAGAGAGAGAGAGAGAGAAGATGCACAAGCATACTAATTAACACATACTTTAAACAAGTGTTTAAAAGAACTATTATGTGGGTGTGTGTGTGTATGTGTGTTTAGCTTATTTCAATTAGTTATACAGGAAAACGCAGAACTTAAGATGTTTTGCCAAATTTATCCATAGCGCTAATTTGTATCTGCAGCCTCTGGGCAGGGTGTCGTCGCAAAATTTACAATATTGAGTTACTAATAATACAATACCCACATAAAATAATATATCACATCATAGTCAATCAAATAAAAAAAAAATTATATTAAAAATTGAAAAATCAATGATTAATTTTTTACATTTTACTTGAGCCAAACTTAAGTCTTTTTAAAAATGTTAAATGTGGTACTTTCTTACTTGCGTATATGTCTGGGACACATTTACAAGTTTCTTTAACGATGAATTCCATTTTGTGTTTTTGTTTTATTTATTTTGTGTGTGTGTGTGTGTGTGTGTGTGTGTGTGTGTGTGTGTGTGTGTGCAGGTGAATGTTTAAACAACTAAAATTATTTCTAGATTTACATAAAGAAAAATTGTGCATAAGAAAGACTTTTTGGGGGGAAATAAATGTAATGTCTTATTATAATGTTTCAGTGTAATGTGTAATGTTTGTGAATATAACAAAAAATCTGCCAGCAACATTTGTGCTACAGTATGACATCAAGGCCTGTTTTTTTTTTTTTTTAATTTAATAAAACAGAATTGAACATATAATAAAATCTAATAATATCATCAATCTACTGCACTTCAGTGCAATTCTTCAGATTTAAAGTTAGTGTTGCTTTATTTCATCTACAGAGTTCACCAAACTTGAACTTTGCTTTGGAACACAGTAACAAAGCAATTTCTGTCTCCTGCAATAGCATGCATATGTACACAAGTCAACAGAACAACAACAAAAAAAAGTTCAGTGTACTGTGACTGGCCATTAAATGTTCATAAAAACAGACCACACAAAACCTAATTTCTATTTTTTACTTTAGATTTTTAGGGTGACGTATGTTTTTGACAGGTGTTATGTGATTTGTGATACATCCCAAAATATGAATCAAAAAGGAAAGAGAATGACAGCATATGTGTGCAAGGATAATCTCACATTCTCGTAATTCATGAGCTCAGTGGAACGACCAGCCAGTCTGTGGGCCAGGAGTTTTCCAGCCTTAATGGCGGTGGGGGTCAACTCAGGACGACCCTGAAACAGAGCATAAGTTGGTTGTCAGAGAACATCTGCACATACAGTGTTGCTTTGTAAACTTAAACAATGACTTTTCTTTTTTTTTTTCTTTTTACTTATAATGCTTCCAAGTAAACACCAGTTTTATTTCAATTACTAAACCTTAAGTAAAAGCTAAAAAGAAATGTCAATCAATTAATCAACCAATCAATAAAAAAAAATCACATGTAAATATACAAAATTTTAAATGAAAACTACAAAAGTAAATTATTATTGAATGGTTTATTAATTATTTTAGGGTGAAACAAAAATTAATACTATAGTAGACTCAATTACTAAACCTTAAACAAAAGCTAAAGAAAAATAATCAATCAATATGACAAAACCATGTAAAGTGCTCCATTTTAAATGAAAACTACAAAAATAAAAAGGCAAACTATTAATGAATGATTTATTAATTATGTCAAGGTGAAACATCTATTAATACTATAATAGACTCAATTACTAAACCTTAAACAAAAGCTAAAGAGAAATATCAATATATCAATCAACCAATCAATCAATTAATCAATCAATCAACCAATCAATCAATCAATCAATCAATAAGACAAAATCATGTAAAAAACACAATTTTAATTTTGATTTGGCATATCAGTGACAATTGTTTGTTTAGCTATAATTTTGTATTTTTCTCGTGATTTGTATTGTGCAGCACCTTGGTCAACCTTTGGTTGTGTTTAATAGTGCTATATAAATAAAATAAATGAATAAAAACTACAAAAATAAAGGTAAATTATTAATTAAAGATGTATTATTTCAAGGTAAAATATCAAATAATACTTTAATTGACTGATTAATACTATAATGGACTCAATTACTAAACCTTAAATGAAATCTAAAGAGTATTATCAATCAATCAATCAATCAATCAAAAAGACAAAATCAATTCTAATGTAAACTATAAAAATAAAATTAAAGGCAAATTATTAATGAATGATTTATTAATTATTTTAAGGTGCAACATTGATTAATACTATAATAGACTGATTAATACTATAATAGACTATATTTATAACTGTTCTGTCTGGTTCTCGAATCTGAGTAAGTAATATGAGAACTTGTACAGCCTCTTCACCCCTATGTATTACTCCACCCATACGCCCATTGGATCGGGTTTTGGTATTGGTAGATACTTAAACTCAGTCTCAAGGTCAAATAAACCTGATTGGGACATCCCTAGTAAAAATACCCTAACAATAACACTTGCATGGATAATCAACAGAAAATCCAGTCTAAAATGAAGCACGCAAATCAGACAGTGCCCAACAACGCAACTGAAAAACAAATATTATTTTTTTAGTTATACATTGCCTTGTTGTTAACTGTGCGTCTGTGTGCGATTAGCCTGATCAGACATTTCAAAGATTAGCATCATCTTAACATTACACAGTTGTCAATCACGATGATGATTACACAGCACAGAGGTGGACGGCTGCCAGTCAGCGCTGTGGAAAACATGCCTACAGTAACAACACAGGAACATGCAGCACCATGGGGCAAATTCTCATTCACTGACTAATGGCATCAGCAACAAGTCTGATAACTTCTGCACATCCTGCTGTCCAAGAAACCGCCTCGGGTGTGAAGAGAGAAAATGTGTGTGTGTGTGTGTGTGTGTGTACACCACCCAGAAAGCTATATAGTAAATGCATTTCTTGTCAGTATCCAGGTGCAGCTCAGCAACTCGCCTTCTTTTATTAAAAAAAAAAAAAAGAAAGAAAGAAAATTGACACACTTTGAGAGTAAAAGGCGCTTATTCTGACTAGTTTTGTGGCAGTGTGTGAGTGTGTGTGCCAATGATCACACAGCTGCTGTGGATGACGGACGGCTATGATATTTGATCCCGGCTGCCAGTTGTGTTGGGGATGTTACAAGGCAACAACCTTCCAGGAGAGCGACTGAACTGACAGATATAAATATGCTGTGGATGTGTTGCTTTCCAGCTGTGCCGCCTTTTTGCAGTTTGATCAAGGCTTGGGGGGGGGGGGGTATATTCCAGGAGCAGATTTTACAAGGCCCTCTAAAGGTGGGGGATTTAGATAAAAAAAAAATCTAATGTTTTGTTGTTGTTGTTTTTGTTTACAAAATAATAATGTCAAATGCATACATTTAGCTTTTTAAATCACATTTTTTTGTCCAGGTTCTAGTTCAAATATCTAAAAAGTCTTAAATCAAGAAGCATTTTCTAGACAAGCGAAAAATAGAAGTTTCAGAAGTAATAGGTCAAAATTAATGAGTTTTTCCTTAAAAAACAAAAACAAAAATTATATATGCAAAAATATAAACACACACACACACACACACACACACACACATATATATATATATATATATATATACACACACACACATACATATACATATATACACACACACATACATATACATACATATATATATATATATATATATATATATATATATATATATATATATATATATATATATATATATATATATATATGCAGTTGAAGTATATATACAGTCGAAGTAAGAATTATTAGTGGTGGACAGTAGCAGATACCGAAATAAGACACAAATTCAAAGTTCCACATGAGGTTATTAATAAGCAAGTAATATAAATATTACAAACGTAAACATAAGGTAAGCAGGTTACATTTTAACCCCAAGTCCTAACAACACGCTACATGAGGAGATTTGCAGTGATACGTAATTTGGCTGTTTGGATCAGAAGAAACATGACCGAAAATTAAATACAGCCATTCAGAAGCACAGAATATATGAGCACTTCCTGCACTCCAACAAAATGGTAAGGTTTATAATCTAATACATATTAAACCTCTTTAACATTATTAAA